GTGTGTCTGTTCAAATTAGAATATGAGTCCATCTTTGTTTGACCAATTTGCCTACGTGGTCATGTGTCATCCTCAGCGATTGGGCAGAACTTTGTGAAAAGTCCCAAACACGCAAATGCATGCAAATTGTCTTGCCAGCTGCGTTGACTGAAAGGAGGCTTTTTTGTTGTTACCAAGTTAACCAAGATCAACTCTTTGAAGGTATGTTCTATATGTTGTACCGTACACTGTTGTGTATCTTGTTGAAACATTTTATCGGTTTGGGTGATGTTTTTATTTGAGCAGGTGAAAATAACAAGGAATCAAAGCGGCCCACCGCAACGGCGTGCAACATGGAGTACACATTTAGAGCCGTAACTCATACCCCTGGGATTATCATCTGGAGAATTGAGGTACTTGTGTAGTTTACCATCACATATTGTCGTAAAAGTGATGGATACTTTTACAATGTAATGGTGGAAACAGGCGTCCTCTCCATCTGAAACAGAAAATGGAGCTTGTTCAAGTCCCCGAGAAGTCCTACGGACATTTTTATGAGGGTGACTGCTATGTTGTTCTCTATGTAAGTACACGATTTATCCATCCTCATAGTGTAGCATTTGTGATGTTGACTTTCTGTATGACTCTTGAATCTCCAGACCCAAAAGGTAAAAAACTCCCTCCACTATGACATCCACTTCTGGATCGGCTCACAGTCCTCTCAAGATGAGCAAGGTGCCGCTGCAGTTTACACCGCACAATTGGATGATTATTTGGGTTCCACACCGGTCCAGCACAGAGAAGTTCAGGAGCACGAGTCCGATGTGTTCAGGGGTTATTTCAAGCAAGGAATAATGTGAGTGAATGTGAAAGCCAAGAGGAATGCAACCCTAGATTTATCTCCCGTTTTACCCACCCTGTGTCACATGCTGCAGCTACAAGAAAGGTGGAGTTGCGTCGGGCATGAGGCACACTGAAATCAACACCTACGACGTTCAGAGGCTGCTTCATGTCAAAGGGAGGAAACGGGTAGTGGCCAAGGAGGTGAGCGCTCGATTTCAGGCTGGTTACGTAACACAGCGGGGGCACAGAGGGCCTTGTGTGTGTACACACGCCGCCGCTGCTCCCACTGGTTTCAGGTGGCACTGTGCTGGAAGAGTTTCAACCTCGGCGATGTGTTTTTACTGGACATCGGAAAAACCATCATCCAGTGGAATGGACCGAAGAGCAACAAGCAGGAAAGACTGAAAGTAAGTTTATTTGTAGCACGTGACCACTGAGTGTGCAGTCATACACAATTTAGGAGCGATTACATTATTGTCGAACGATTAATAGGTAAAGTGGCTAATTTCTGCGTTTTTGAAAAATATTCAGACGACACACAAATAACTATCGTAATTTCGCATCATTGCAATGTGGCAAATACAGCGTATGATGTAATTTCTGATCAGAATGAAAACAATAACTGCAGAGTGCTTGTGTCGCGGTTACTTTCAATACTTTTAATTAGGTATTCAGCAGTGAATACGGGCATGTAGACCCCCAGTTACCTTCAAGTACCTCGTATTAAGACACAGGTGTCAAACTAAAGGCCCGGGGGCCAGATC